CAGTTTAAATGTTCGTGAAATTACGATCAAACTTCACACTTGGTAAGTATTAATTTAATCTTACAATTTTGCATATTTACCAAATAAAGTCAATCAATCAATCAATCAATCAGCCCCTCACAATTCTTGTGATTTCCTATCTTTCTTAGTAATTTTGCATCAACTGCAAATAGACTTATGTAACTGCTTACTCCTTCTGTCATGTCATTTACATATATTAAAAACATTATTGGTGCCAAAACTGATCCCTGTGGTACTCCACTTTTCACTTCTCTCCATTCAGATTGTTCATCCTTTACTACTGTTCTCATTTCCCTTCCTTTGAGGTAGTGTTCCATCCAGTTCTTTAATGTTCCTTTCAATCCTCAAATGTGTTCCAACTTCCATAGTAATCTCCTGTGCGGAACCTTATCAAATGCCTTTTTTAAGTCTAAATATATGCAATCCGCCCATCCATCTCTTTGTTGTGTTATATCTATTACTCTTGAATAAAAACTTAATAAGTTGGTGACACATTATCTTCCTGTTCTGAATCCAAATTGTCTATCTGATATTATTCCTTCTCTTTGTAAGTACTGAGTCCATTGTTTCTTGATGACCTTCTCACATATCTTGCACACTATGCTGCTCAATGACACTGGTCTATAATGAAGTGGTTCTTCTCTGTTTCCATTCTTGTAAATAGGCATTATATCAGCTCTTTTCCATTCTTTGGGGACTTTTTCTGTTTGAATAGAACACTCAATTATATCATGAAATGGTTCAGCCATTTCTTGTCTACACTCCTTCAATATGTATCCTAATACTCCATCTGGTCCTATTGCTTCTCTTTCATCCAATTCCTTCATCATTTCTTCTATCTCTTTTTTACTTATCTTGATTTCCCACATCTCGTTTTTCCTCACTTGTCCTTGTGGCTTTTTAATTAAAGTCAGATTCAGTTGTAAATACTTTGTGAAAATTGTTATTTAGCACTTCACTCATCTATTGGGTCCTGATATACTTCATTATTTAACTTCAATATGGTTATAATTTCTTTGTGTTTTATTTTTCTATTAATAAATCTATGAAACAGCTTTGGTTCTGCCTTGTGTTTGTCAACTATATCTTTTCATATCTGTTCTCTTCTTCTCTTCTTACCCTTACATATTCATTCCTTTCTAGTTTATATTCTTCTTTCCTTTCCTGGATCGGTTTTCTTTTCATTCTCCTCCATGCTTCATCTTTTCTTTTATTAGCCTTTTCACATTTTCCGTTAAACCAATCTTTTTTACCTTTTTCTTTTATCTAGGGTATCTTCTATTTCTTCATGTTCTTCCTTAGTCCAAGTTTTTGTTTTTGGGGCTACATATGCAACTATTATTGTTTGGCTTTCTGCACATCTTGTATTCATTTGTGCACTTATCAATGCTCTTTTACCTTTTCCATACTCTACATTTATAACTTTTATCTTAGATTTTATCATTAGCATCACACCTCCTTTTTGGTCTTTTCTATCCTTCCTCCATATATTATAAATATTATTCTCAATGTTGGTCTGGATGTCCTCTTATAGTTTTATTTCTGCTAGGCATACAATTTATGGTTTCTTCTCTTTTAGATAATCTGTTAACTCTGGTTTTCTTGTTATTATTCCATCTATGTTAGTATACATTACTTTTATTTCATAACTTTTTTTTGTAACTGCTCCATTCATTTACTTTTCGTTTCTTTCTAATATCTGTTGTTTATGTATCATTTCTTTATCTTGTTCTTTACTCCAAAAAAACTTTGTTTTCTCCTCTGTTGTTTTTTCATTTCTCTGCTTT